GATTATTATTATTATTATTATTATATATTAGAAATATAAACTTTAATGAAATTATAAAATTTAGTAGTATTGTAGTATTACCTTTAAATTTCGTAGATAAGATATATCTGAAATATGACTAATGCTATTTTCAGATAAATCTAAATGTTCCAACTTAGTGTTTGTGTGCAAATGTTCAATAGACTGCAAATTAATATAATATTATAAAGATTCAATAATTTGGAGATGATAGCATGCATTACTTATATTGATCATACCTTTATGTTATTGCCAGCTATGCAAAGTGTTTGTAAATTTATCATATCCTTTATACCTTCTATGGTTAAGACACCATTATTTGCTAAATTAAGAGTTACAAGATTATGTAACTTTGATACTCCATACATACGTAGCAATTGATTTCTTACTATAGATAGCTAAAATAATTTAATTATAAATAAAAAATCACTTACATTACATTACAATTTTCATTATATTAAAAACTATATATATATATATATATATAATACAAATATATAAATTTTATTTTATATATATTATTATAAATATATTACCTTTGTAATTCTGTGATAAGAATCAAGATTATCGAGACGCTGCAGTTCATTATCGTCAATAATCAATGTACTAATATCTGCATCTGACGGACAACGAGGAAGCTTCTTCAAACCTTGACCACTTAGATCGAGTGTATCGCACACTAAGGATTCTAAATACATAACATAATCTTACTGTTATTAACTTAACTAAACATGTAAATATTTAGACGCAAAACAACAAAAAATGTCAAAAGTGGCAAGTGTAAGATTGTAATAAAATTACTCTGCTTTTATATACATATTAATGAAATTCATAAGACTTGTTAAGGATCAAAATATATTTTAGATATCTAGAGTATCTTTAAGACAATTTATACAAGTATTGTATAATACAAATATTAAATTTTTACTAACCCGTCGAAGCCATGATGAACACAATAAACTGGTAGACGCTATGAAGATGTCGTCGTAATCACTATAGTACTTAATAAGAATAAATGTTTATAAATTATAGTAGGATTAACTTTAGTTTATAATTTTACATGCAGAGAAAATAAATCAGTATCACATTTATATTTTCCTAATCGCATTTATTTTCATCGATATCCCTGTACAATATCTATAGAAATATATATTGTATAGATGTTACAATATTAATTGTATATGACTAATTTAGATTTATTTGAACAAAAGTAATGTAGCTCATGTGTTATAATATTATGATTGCTATAAGTATATTTTTGAATTACGATAAATGATAACCATCCGAGTGATTTTAAAATTGCGCGTTTAAAAATTTAACATGGCGATCTAAGAGTTCAAAATATTTTGCGTGTAACTTTATTCGTTAAAATTACTCCTTTTCTTAAGATCTGTATTATCTTGTGAAACATAATTACTATCAACAGGTAAGGTTTTAGTTAATAAAGTTGATCAATAACAGACTTTTTATACGTCACCATAACAATGAAATCACATGTCAACTTTAATGTAAAATTATAAAAGAATATAGTAAATAGATTAATAATGAAACGCTATTTAATTAATGTATGTAACAGACAAAAGTCTAATGTTGCACATTATAACGGTAATACCAATGAATATAAACAATATTCAAAGAAAGTTATTCAGTATGGAAAATGTGATTCTCTTCTAACCTCAACGGAGAATACTATTGTATGTTGTGAAAAACATGAAGAAAGTATCAATGAAATTTATACTCATGAAACTCGCACTGTTGCACTTAAAGAAATTGATATAGATGAAAAGTGTGATTTAACTAATATACCTATAAATTTTGAAAATAGTCTTTATGTACCAATGATTAATACAAACAATAATACTTCAATAAAATATAAAAATGCAGAAATTTTGAAGAATGAAATTATACAGAAAGAAGTACACGATGAAAAATGTAATGAAACTGACATAAGAATTAATGAAATCAATATGCAAATGCTCTCAAAATCATTACACAAACAAATATTTAAAGATTATTACAAAAGCTGTAGACAGGATAAAATATCAGAGAAAGATATACAGTCAATAAAGAACAATTTAAGTTTGTATGGGATAAAAACTGAAGATGCTAGTAGACTACCGGAAGTTAATATTAAATTACCTCCTTTAGAAGGAGATGATATCGAACAACATTTTTATAATATAGGAAATGCTCAAATTAAACCTTATATAAAACTTATAAAAAATATTATGAAGGATATTCCTCAAATGCCAAATAAGTGGATGTTTAATGAAGGGTGGACAAGATATGCTACTGATGGAATACAAAGGGTAGATTACCCATTAGAAGATGCTATTATTTTTGATGTAGAAGTTTGTATGAAAGAAGGTCCTTTACCAACACTTGCAACTGCAGTAACTAACAAAGCATGGTATGGTTGGGTATCAAAGTCTTTAACAAATGGCTTAAATAGAACTTTTGAAGGTAAACAGTTTGGTATGGATGAATTAATACCATTAGAAAGTATAGCTACTGAACATGGAGAAAAATTAACTTCTTTTCATAAAAAACCAAAAATTCTAGTCAGTCATAATGTATCATTTGACAGAAGTAAAATTAAAGAGCAATATTGGTTGAAACGTACAGGTCTAAGATTTATTGACACAATGTCACTTCATATATCTATTGGTGGAATTAATAGTTATCAAAGGACAATTTTAAACTCTAAGAAAGATACAGAGGAAAAGTTAAATTTACAGATGGAAACCTCACTGAATAGTTTAGAAGAAATTCACAAATTTTATTGTGGTTCTAAAATAAATAAAAGTATCAAGGATGTGTTTATAAATGGATCTTTAGCAGAAATTAAAGAAGATTTCAATTCTTTGATGAGTTATTGTGCAAATGATGTGATTGCAACTCATAATATTTTATGCCATTTATTTCCCATTTTTGAGGAAAGATTCCCTCATCCTGTTACTTTAGCAGGGATGCTAGAACTTGGTACTGCATATCTGCCTATGAATTCTAATTGGCAAAAATATATAAATGAATCAGAAACTTGCTTCGAAGACTTAAATTATGAAACTAAAACTATTCTTGCTAAAAGAGCTAATGCTGTTTGCGAACTCATGCATAATGAAAAATATAAGGAAGATATATGGATGTGGGATGAAGATTGGAGTACACAAATGCTTAAAGTGAAAGCACAATACTCAAAAAGAAACGCCAAGAAAGAATATCAAGCACAAAATGTAGAAGAAAAAGAGAAAGAAACTCAAAGTTATTTAACAGATGATGAAGATGAAGAAGATCCATTAGAAAAAGAATTTGCTTATTTAACAGAGACACGAAAGTTTTTACCTTCAAGACTACCACATATGCCCGGATATCCTGCTTGGTACAGAAAACTTTGTCCTAAAATGAACGACGAAGATTGGTCACCAGGTCCTCAAGATCTAAGCATTTCTAAGCAAATTGTTCCAAAACTTCTAAATCTGACATGGGAGTGTTATCCTTTACATTATATAAAAAACAAAGGTTGGGGTATTTTAGTACCTTACACTAATGATACAAGTATTAAAACTAAAATACCTTTAAAACAGCTTTTAGCTCAGTGCTCTTTATTTAAAGCAGAGTATTCATTTAATGAAAAAAATTATACAATGTCAACCATTGATACAGAAGTAGAAAATGAGTTACATAAAACTGAGTTTTGGCGTAACAAGAAGAAGAAGCCTAATGTTCATTTAAGTGGCATTTATCAAGGCAGTGCACACTGGTGCAATGTAGATATAGATAACTGCTGTTATTTTCTTAAATTGCCACACAAAGATGGAAAGAGTTATAATGTTGGCAATCCAATGAGTAAATACTTCCTAAATAAGTTTTCAGATGATATATTGGCCAGTTCAGATGCCAGTGCTGTAGAAATATTGAAAATTGCTAAAATGATCTCATATTGGAGAAATAATAGAGATAGAATTATGTCACAGTTTGCAGTATGGTTTGATAATTCATATTTACCACGTTTCATCACAAATTCCAAAAAGTCAATGCATTTTGGGGCAATTTTACCGATGGTAGTCGTTTGTGGTACATTAACTAGGCGAGCAGTAGAACCTACGTGGATGACTGCATCTAATGTCGATTCCGAACGCATTGGTTCTGAATTACGATCAATGATTCAAGCACCACCAGGGTATAATATCGTCGGTGCTGACGTTGACAGTCAGGAATTATGGATTTCATCGATGATAGGAGATGCTTATTACAAAAAAATTCATGGGGCTACACCGTTTGGTTGGATGACACTGATCGGTACTAAATCCAACGAGACTGACATGCATAGCGTTACTGCTAAAGCAATTGGAATCTCTAGGCACCAGGCCAAAGTTATTAATTACGCTAGAATTTATGGTGCTGGTCAAAAGTTCGCTGAAACGCTTTTGAAACAATTCAATCCGTGTATGACGGATAACGAAGCTGCAACAAAGTCTCGAAAAATGTTTACCATGACAAAAGGGAAAAAGGTTTATAGGTTGAAACCTGAACATATTTTTGAATTTAACGACAAGGATTATTCGTCGTACGAGGCATACAGATTATCAAAATTACACGGCAAAGATGTATCGGAGATGTTTGAACCAAGTAAATGGGTCGGAGGTTCGGAATCCGCGATGTTTAATAGATTAGAGGAAATCGCACGGGATTCACATCCTGTTACACCTTTCTTGAACTCCAGGTTAACTTTAGCTTTAGAAAATCAAACGAATAACGAGCAATATTTGCCTACGAAAATAAATTGGGTAGTTCAGAGTGGAGCGGTCGACTTTTTACATTTAATGTTAGTCTCGATGAAATGGCTTATGAAGGACAACGTAAGATTCTGTCTATCGTTCCACGATGAATTACGATACTTGGTACCTTCGCGATATAAGTACAATGCAGCGCTTGCCATGCACATTACTAACTTGTTAACTCGTTGTTTTTGCGCCTCGAAACTTGGAATGAACGATCTTCCGATGTCGGTAGCATTTTTTAGTTCCGTAGAAGTAGACACCGTTTTGCGAAAAGAACCGGATAACGATTGTATCACGCCATCGAATCCTCATGGCTTAAAAAATGGGTACGAAATTCCTCCTGGAGAAAGCTTAGACATATGGTCCGCCATAAGTAAATCTGGTGGTTCCTTGGGGTCGTATGATATAAATCAACGAACAATTGAATAGAATTAAAAAGTACGAATTAGAAAAAAGCAAACCAAAGATTAGTAAAGCATAAAAGCTATATGTGTATACGTTGAAAACTAACAATGGTGAACATTATCGATGAGAGTAATGAAAGACCAGTTAAAAAACATTATACTTTTCCTTTTAAAACGCGACATGGATGAGATTGTTGTTATGTTTAAATTTACAGGTAAAAATGTCCAAAGCCACGAAACGTAAACACGTTACCAGAGAAATCGAAGATATGAGTATCCCTACGGAATCGCAGTCGATCGTTCGAATAATAGAATCTCGCGGTAATAATCTTCACGAAGTTCTCGATGCATCTGGAATGCAATATCTCGTGTCTATGCCGATGAAATTTAGGAGAAACATTTGGGTGAAACGTGGAAATTTCGTGTTGGTAGAACCAATACCGGAAGGGAACAAAGTGAAAGCAGAAATTGTTAAAATATTAACGAGAGTACGTTCAACTGCAAATATCATTGTATATTAACCTGTAGTATTTTGAGAGAGAACTTGTTTGTTAGGTACATGAAAGATGGTACCGCCAGCAGAACTGTTGGCCCCAAGAGTTTGACGAAACTCCAAGTTCGGAGCGAGGAACAACCGGAGAAGAAAATGATAACGAAGAAGATGATATTTTTATAAATACAAATAGGTTATTACATAATAGTAGTAGGATAGATAAGACTAGCGACACGAGCAGCGATGAATCTGATTCTTGCTAATGTTTCGGTTACAGTATTGTAAATAATAAAATTGTTCGTGTAAAAATAACAGCAAACTACTTGTCGGAGAGTACAATAAATATTTTTCTAAGATACGTTTATATACGAATATTTTATTTCACTGTAATGGAAAAAATATGTCTCCGTTTAACGGTGGCAAGCGTTATCACAAAAATTATCATTGCATTGTCCGATTAATCTTATCGGCTAGCATGATTTTTGCAATTCGATGCGTATTCTACCTTTTGTCAATTATTCTCTATCACGAAACGAAAAGACCTGTTTATTTTTAACATTTCGCTCCTTCGGTTAACTTTGCCGGGGCATTTCAAAATTAAAGACGTTATCTTGAAAAACACGCCTAAAACAGGAACGAAAGTTCTGATTCTTTTGGAATTTCAGATAAAGCTGAGTCGAATGAAATTAAAACGCAAATGCTACGGCGATGATTGACATTTTTTAATATTCTCGCGTGGCTCGTAAATCTTGAAAATGCATCATATCTGCTCTCTGCACCGTAAATCGAACATACTTTTGGGAGAAATGAATCACGGTTGTATAGATAAAGCAAAGATACATAGTAAATATGCGTTTCTTATAAATTTTCGAATATACACAAACACAACTGGTACGTCGGTTTCGTCCGAGTGTAATTACACTTACTCTTTACTTTTCACTCTGACGCATTTCAATCTTAAGAACAAGCTTATCTCTCACGAGGCAAAAGTTGCTGCGTGTAGCGTTCAAATTTTTAGGTAAACAAACAATCGGCAGAGACTTTTGTAATTTTGTTTAAAAATAATCAACCCATCTTCACGTTCGATCGTGATTCATCTGATAAAACGGTGCATGTCAGATACGAACGGGATACACGAATACGCTAAAAATCGTAGGGGAATCGAACGGAATGATATACCGATTCTCTTATCGGCGAAATCAGCAGATGAGGTTGCTGCGAGGAAAGGTGTCCAACGGTATCGTTAAGAAAGTTACGTTCAGTCACGCTGTACGGTAGTCTGCTCTCGACAGCGACGATTGGCTGATTTACCGTTTCCTCCCTTATTTCGATCATTTATTTTCGTTTCTCGCGTTAATAACAGCAGGTTACAAACAGTCCTCGTTTCCTAGTCTACGTGCGTGTCGTTCTCGAATTCTTCTCTCGAATTCTTTCTTCCGCGTTTCGCGAGCGAGCGTTATTATCAAAGAAACTGTCCTAATTACCGTTAGAAATACACTGTGCGAGTGTTCTCATCGTGTGATCGTGTGTATCGCTTGTTCTGCTGTGAGAAAATTCGACGATGTCGGAATGATCCGTATCTGGAAGAACGAAAATGGAAATATGCGGTGGAGCATCAACAGAAAACGATCGAGGTAACATTCGTACGTGGAGTGGAATTGTCGTGGAAATGGGAAATCGAGTAGGCTACAGCGGAGTTCGAATGGAATGAGAATTGAAAAGGAATTTGCGTTCTCTGCATCGATTCCAGAGAAATCGTTAAAGTTTCCTTGATTTGTCTTCGGCTGGTGACCTATTGACGATCGCAGTTTGTTGACTCGACATCGGGTTATCGAGCCTCGTAACAGAATGTTTTGTTTATCGGTGATAATGATTTGCACGATCACGAATACGTGCTCTTGAAACGGATCGTTGTCGAATTTTCATCGTTCTTCGCCCAGTACACTCTGTTACCGTTTTAAATGCTCGACGACCGATGCTCTGCTCCCTTGGCAGGAGGTTTCGATTGATATATAGAGAAGGAACATCGTTCGAGGGTAGGAGAGCCATTATGGACACGACGAGCGAAGATGCGAACGATTTGCACGATTTTTGGAAGAACTGGGACTTGGAGAACCTGACGGAAGCGGAGTACTTGGCCAAGGTACTCGGGCCTAGGTATCTGCCTCCGAGAATGGTGATACCTCTCACGATAGCGTACCTGGTGATCTTCGTGACTGGTATTTTCGGAAATATCGCCACGTGTATCGTAATTATAAGAAATCCGTCGATGCAAACCGCCACCAACTACTACTTGTTCAGTCTGGCCATATCCGACCTTATTCTACTTATATTGGGTGAGTCGCGCGTTCGCACGCCTTTACGTTTGCGCGTATCGATACTGTTTGTCGTCTCGTCCCGGTCACGTCGATTCCCATTTTCCCCGTTCGTAAAAATAATTTATGAAGGGGGACGAAGATAATGAAGTCCGATAAACGCTTAATAAAGATAAGCGTGAACCCGCGATACCTGTATCGGTATCGATTCGCTTTTAATTGGCCCGAGGCGAATCTATAACCGAATTAGATTTATGCTCGACTCCTAAATCAACATTCGGCCGATTAAGTCGTTAAATCGTAACGGCATATCTCATTGGAATTGCCGGTATTCTGATAGTCGATGAAGCGAGAATCGATATCGAACGAAGAGGCAGACGCGGGATAGTACGATTTCATTTAGCGAATTTCCGTTTGGCCATGTTATATAACTAGCACAAAGGAAGACTAGGAGGATTCCCTAGGAGTTTCGCTATAAATGACACATTTCAGATTCAGATCGTTTTGCCTTTGCTTAATTACATCGAGGCTCGATGATAAGGGCTTTAAATTAATCTTCGTCTAACGTGTACATTAGCGATTCTTATCTGCTCACTGGGTTGTTTGCTGATCGTAACGTCGTTTTTATTTGCGTCATTGCGCCAATTTGTCAGGATAAAAATTGTGGACGTGCGGGCGTCTGTATCAAAGTCTTCGGAAAATTAAAAGATTTAGGATGATAGGAATAAGTATAACGCGGTGTTTGCACAAGTACTTTGAACTTCCACAGATCGCTTACACCACGAACGTTTACGTTTAGCCTCGCATTTGCGACAGTTACTTGTACGTTCGCGGCTTGAATAGCCGAAATTGTATACCTTGAATTTCTTGAATAGACGAAGATAACGAGGCCACGATAAGAGCTATCGCGTACATAGCTAGGATGAAATTTAAATGACGCGGAATAGTCGAATGTAAAACACGTTGGGCATTCTATCGTGCTGTATGAAAAATGTTGCATAAGCCTCTATTCTTTTTCACGAGATGAAAATCAGGTACAAAGGACGAGACGTGTATTTTCGTGGATTCTATTTCCAATCCTTGACGTCAACGAACCGATTAACTTCCGATAAAAATGACATCTTCTCGAGATACACGTGCTTTGTTATACTTAATAGAGCCATCGTGATACATCGTTCACGTCGTGGCAGTGTCACACACAACCTTCTGTATCCGTAGTCTCAAAGACAGAGAAAAGTTGAATCGTTATCTGCATATTATTCGCCATTGCGATGAAAATTACCGTCTGGAGGAATCTTGATAATATGTACGATGCTTGCGCGCATTCGATGTAATCGATATCGATTTTGCGAGATGTATAGCGTTTTAGCCCATTAAATATTAATACAGCTTGCAACTTGGAAATTAACGCCTTCCCTCGTTCCAACGTATATGGGGTATCATTTATTTAAACTCAATTCTCTTACATCGTGTCAAAGGAACAGTTTCACAAACACGGTTCGTTTCACCCTATCGTTGCTAGGGTTGATTAAAAAATAAATTCCCATCCGTTAATTGTATCGTTGCTCTGCCACGCAATTATATATTTAATGGTGGAAGAAAGTGGAAACAGTTTCTGAAATTGTGTAACAAATATCGAAGTCGTCTGAACACGGGAGTTACGGCTTGTCTCCTTAAATCGTCGTGGAACATTGTGACGTCTATGCGTTAATTACCTTCCGAGCTTAAGTCAGTCGTAAATCAACTTTCGAGAAAATCAGTTTGTGTACCATGGAGACGCTTGTGTTCCTCAGTTGTTACGATACTCGTTCTGGCGTAGATATCTGACGTCAATTGCACGGCCGTCACAGAAGTAAATTACAGATAACTACGCGTATAACAATAAAAATATAGACTCGCGTTAACATAATCAAAATGAAATATCTCGATCGATCGTTATCTGCGAGCTGTTCGATCGTTATCATATTTTGTTTCATCGCTTTCAGGACTACCCAACGAGCTGAGCCTTTTTTGGCAACAATATCCATGGCCTCTAGGAGTCGGACTATGCAAGATCAGAGCATACGTGTCGGAAATGTAAGGAAAATTATTTTCAATTTTCAATCAGGAAAAATTACGATGGTCGATTCTTCTTTTTAATTTGATTTCCACTTAATAGGTCGTCTTACGTATCAGTCCTTACCATAGTAGCATTTTCCATGGAAAGATATTTAGCCATTTGTCACCCGCTACGGGTTTACACGATAAGTGGTCTCAAAAGACCAATTCGTTTCATCCTGGCTGCCTGGTCGATTGCGCTGATTTCCGCCATACCATTTGCAATCTACACGAAAGTCAATTTAGTCGAGTATCCGCCAGGTGAAGCAAGAAATTTCATAATCTTTGTCTTACATCTACGCGCGGACTTATTCGCGACGAAAACCTGCAATCGCTTATGTTTTACTTTATTTTAATAATTAAATTACTTCAGGTTCCGGCAATTATTCGGCTGATTCCGCGATTTGCGCCATGCTGCTGCCATATATGCCCGATTTCCCTCTGTACGAGTTGAGCAGTATCGTGTTCTTTCTGATACCGATGCTAGTGATCTTGGTGGTGTACATCAGGATGGGTTTAAGAATCAGAAACAGCGTGAAGGCTACTTTGGAAACGGTGGGGCAGGGCTCGATTCACGGAGACTCGAAGCAAATTCAATCCCGGAGATCCGTGATTAGAATGTTAAGTAAGATACTCTTCGTTTCGACGTTTTACGTAATACTCTCATCTACGAAAAGTGCATATCATGCGCGTTGTTTGCAGGTGCCGTGGTTATTCTATTTTTCATTTGCTGGGCGCCGTTTCATGCTCAGCGATTGCTCTACGTTCATGCCCAAGAATCCGATTATTACCCAGACCTGAACGAGTGGCTGTACATTTTAAGCGGATGCCTGTATTACTTTAGCACGACCGTGAATCCCATTTTGTATACCTTGATGAGCATGAAGTACAGGCAAGCGTTCGTAAAAACGATTTGTTGCACGATGAAGAGAACTGGTAGGAGGAGTTGGATCACGAGAAAGTCCGAAACGTACAGTAACAGTTCGAGTGGAAAAGCACGGGACTCGAACTTCAAGTGCTCCGTGAGGTAGTAGCATTATCAACGTAGTTATATAAAAAGCTTCGCGAACGATAATACCGTGCACTTCTGCGTCACGTTTAATGTTCCTACAATTTTTATTCAGGTACACGATCAATCAGGCGAAGGAAATGTTTCGATTCACTACGACCCGGGAAAATGTGGGAAAAGATGGAGGCACGAACGATGTCGTTGCTCGTAAATCGTACGGGCTGAAGAAAGAAGATTCCACGTCGAAGCCTCTTCTCAATCGAATGCACAGTGATACACAGGAAGAAAGGGACAATAAAAGTTCTGCACGCAGAACGACAGAGGAAAATTCCTCGTCTATAATTAGCAGCGTTTTGTAGTCTGCAGTGTATATTATTAGAATTTCAAATTACTGTACATAATAGATTTAAGCTAATCGTATTACTATCTTATTTATTTGCTGACCATATTGTATAGTTGTATATTTAAAATAATTTTTACTCCGTTCTAGAGCTTATATATTTGATACGAATTTTAATTATAAACTGTGAAAATTGTTATATATATATATATACGAATGAAATGTAAATAAGAAATGTTTAACGTGTCGCTTTTTTGTAATAGAACTTTGAAATGGAATAAATCGTATAAGAGAGACAGGTAACACGAGTCTTGCAGTCTAGAAGGACCAGCGAAGAAAGGTTTTCTGTATCAAAGAATGTCGACACTATTAACTATGTTTAACGAAGATACGGTAAATCTCAGTAGGAAAGTCGTACATTTTAATTACGTTTAGTGGCATTAAGAAACGTCGTATATCTTTGAAAATTTTCTACCGTGTGCTTTCGCCGTTAGGTATTTTCATTCGATATTAGTCAAATATTTTCAGAATGTTTCGCATAATTACTTATTTGTTCTGTATCTTGTATTTTCTAGCCCTCTTCTATTTTACTCTTCTCTTTACATTTATGCAGATAAGATTCCACGCATTGAGATGAATTTAACACTAGATTTACGGACGCTATCTGTATACCTATTTCTAAAGACACCTGTCAAATTCACAGGTAAAGGAAACCACGTGCCTTCTATTTAACGATTAGTTTAACTTAAAAACAATTATATATTATATTAACAGTCTTGATATAAGTTAACTAAATCTGTTACCACCGTATAATTGGAGCAACCCTTCCGTCAAATTGACGGGTTCCGTAAATCTAGTGTTAATAAAATGAACACCGATTACGATTCCCGGAAACTTATATTTCAGCACGAAATTAGGGGAAAGAAAAGGGAAGAATCGGAACGAAAAGTGATTTAAGTGTCATGAAGAAATAAACTGCGAAATCGATGAATGCTGCATGAATATTTAAAAAATAGTACGACCCCGGAGGAACTTCTGCAAGAATTGTTTCATCGAGCAGCAAGTTGTAATTACTTCTTGACGACTTTCGAATATTGATTGACATCGATTTGGAACTCAGTGATCAACGTGGATGAAGAAAACGTGATGAAATTACGACTGTAACGGTGTACAAAGTTTGTCGGGAGGAAAATCAAAGTTACGTAGCTGCGAGCTATCCGTTCCTCGAGTTCACATATGATCAACGAAGAAGTTTGCGGTCGAAGATTCGTTAAACAGGATTCCGTAGCTCCAAGAACGGAAGTAATTGGTATAGAAGCGAAACTTTTCACCGTTTCGTTACATAATTGATTTACCATTGTCAAAGGAATTTTCCTTCGACCCCGGTGATAAAACTTTCCATCCACGAGGTGAGGCGAATGGCGTCTGCCCGCGAGCTGATATATCCAATGACACCGTGGCTTAGAGTGATCCGAGAAATAATTTCCGACGTAGAACAAAGGAACGTGACGGTAATTTCCCTGTCAAACTTGTCAAAATGAACGGAGTAACCTAAATCCAACTTTTCCCACCATATTCGTCCGTGATATTTCACCGAAATAATGTTGGAACGCTGAATAAAATGAAGAGATTCGTACCGTTACAGTATTTGTATTACTCGCTGAAATTCCTCGTCTTCGTGGCTGTCGAATGCACATTTGCGGTGTACCAGTGCGTCCTTCGCACGGTCGTCACGCAGATGATGGGGCAGAAGTCATTGCAATGGGTAATATCATTTTCTTGCGTCATGGTAACGCTGTTAGTCTTTTCATTCGTCTTCTTTAATGTGCGCGGTTTTATTGATTTTCCTCTTTCCTTTTCAGACGCAACATTTTCTAATCCACTGCTTATCATCTAAAAACTCGCTCGTAGACTGAATAAGGACAAAAACGCGGAAACGTAATGCTATTATCTCGGTACACGGTAGGAAGACGTCGAAGGTAAAACGTGAAACATGTGTAACGTAAAGAAAACATTCTCCCAAGTTTCCGTTTTTGTCCACGTTCACTCATCCTATCGGAAAAGCTATTTTTTTAACCCCTATTTTTCCGCCAAAATCGAATTCGCACATTACGAAAAAAGATTTATAAGAAAATAAATCCAGTTACGTCGTGATCGATTTGAATATCGAGTTATCGTATATCGTTTCAGTTCTTTTTCTACATTTTTATTCTTGGCACGTTGATTCTGATCCTCGACTCGTACGCTGCGCCAATGGAACTACCCCTCGAATATGAAGAAGCTTTCTTACTCTGCCATTTCCACCAGATACATCTCCCGAAACAAGCCACCGAGATTGCACGCCTCGATCGCGATAGAAACAGGAGATATTTATCGCAGGCAACATTGGCTTACGGTTCGCAAAAGCACGTAATTCATTTCCTGGTTGGCGATACCGATTATCGCGAATTAAAACATTAGACGAAGAATGCGGCAAAGGTTATCTCGAATGCTAACTCCGGAGATTCTTTCGTACTTCCGAGAGGAATATGCAAATAGATGCAAATGAAAATCAGAGGCGAATACCCGAGGATAATGAGGCGGAATAAGACGAGAGAACGCGGGGTGAAATGAAAATCCTAGAGAGACGAAACAAGATCGAAGAACGAGGAAGAGGATACTAGAAATCAAAATTTTTCGATTTACAGAATGTTTATGATCCGTTGAAATAAATTACGCGAAAATATTTTGCGACATATCGTTCGCGCGATAAAAATGGAAATGAACCCATAAACCGATATAGGGTTGCTTTCCAACGTCGAATTGGATAGGCAATAATTTATGATACCGCTTTTGTCTTATATCCGATATTAATTGCATTCGTTACCGTGATACAGGATCAGCTCTGACTACCCGAGTACAGGTTTTTAATGACGATGATGAGGCTTTTAACGAGGTCACGTATAAGCAGGAATTTTTCATAAACTCGAATGTCCCGAGGTATCAGCACTCGTATCCATCTCAGCTTTCGCCGATGGATGATCGATCCTCTAAATCTTCAAAAATCGACGAAACGACTTGGCAAACAGGTCGAAGCATACGAGCAGACTCGATCTCCGATACCAAAGCTAGAATTACCAAACCGATCAAAATATCTAGTTTCAAACCTTTTACTTTTACAGTCACTGCAAACACGTAGTAGATCGTTATCTAGATAGAAATGCAATTAGGCACACCTAATTCGTTCTCGTCTGCCTCTTCAGATACTGTTGTAGAATTTTTAGCTATATTAACCCTTTGCACCCGAGAGGTGACTCTCAGTCACCATTTAAACAGATTCTAAAGATCGACGTTAATTAATATATCAAATTTAAAATTACCTAACGATGTGTGGAATGTGGAAGAAAAATAATTCTACGTATTAATTTGCATATGATTTCTCATTTACCATTTTAAAAATATCGTCGACTCTATGACAGAAAGTCTTCGAATTACTATTTTTCTGTAACGAAAAAGTCGTCGAGTGCAAAGGGTTAATCTTATGCAAACCAAAATCGTGTGTCTGATAAGGAACAACTCTCTTTAATAGCAAGAGAAGTTTATTTAATTGACATTATACACCAGGTTCCTCTCAATTATAACACTCAACGTCTCAACTACACCCCGTCCTTGCATCCCTATTTAAAGCCAGATCTATCTCATTTTATACACACGCTTTCTCTCTCAATCATTCTACAGACATTCGGACAAAAGGATTTGCCGTTATCATTTGTTCTTTCTGCGTTAAACACCCTGTTCCGTCCCGGAGAGCGTGTTTATAACATAATTTTATTCTAGGGCTTACACTTTTAACAGACCTAACGGTTCATTTTATATTTTATACCGCGACTGCAATTCCGGAGGTTCGATGTGCATCAACGCCGTTCTAGCGGATTAAGCTTATAAAGGTAAAGCAAAATTAGGAATTTTACTAGTACCAGACGCGACAGATGGGACCCACTTGTGACAGACCCA